TCCACACCAGGCTTTCCATGCATGCAGGTGGAAAGGCAGAACAGAACAGAGCTGCCAATTATGAATGACTGCAGACTGGAATAATAATGCTTTGGTTGAAACATGTTTATGTTTATCTGCAGCATTTCTCAGCAGGTTTAAATTTCGATTACCTCTGAAATGTACTTATAGAGTTCATTACTTATTACACTTACCAAAGGCCTCAGGCCTGCAGCCGGGTCACAACAATTACTGCAGACACTGAGATCACGTCCACGCAGTGAGAGATGTTTTTAACTTTAATGTTTTACTTGAGATCCAATAAAAAATGTTTTCTGTGTGTAATGATTAGTAACTCTATGAAACTCGATCTTAAACTCCAGCATTTTACTAGTGTAGTGATTGTGGGTGTGTAGATGTTGTGATTTACTTCTAATGTGACATTTTTGTGATCTTCTACATGCACCTTGCCAGTGAACTGCAGAGGCAAACTAGGTTTAAGCCAATTCTGGATATTGATTTCAAATAAAACCAATTAGGAAAGAATGACAGCATTTCAAGCTTTTGAAGTATTTTCAATTTAAAAAGGAGTTAAAAGAAGAGCTTCACCTCAGATTTTCTATCTGACTTTCACAACATTGGGCACCATCATTTTTGTTTAAAGGTTTCTGCTTTCTTTATCTTCGTGCTTTCATTATTTGTAATTTTTACATGAAAAAAGACAAAAACTGTCAAACGTCTGAAAATGATTACACAATAACTGGCTGGTTGGTCATCTTAATTAAACCACATATTACCTCCATAGTTTAAAGGATCCGAGGCATCCCCAGAGGTTATTTAAGTGTACATTACTTGAATATATAAAAATATCAAACCAGTTGATGGTTTCTGGAAGGTGAACTCACCAGGTTGTTTTTAATCAAAGCTTTGAGGTAAACCAGTTTCTGCAGGGCAGTGACCTCCATGACCAAAATACAGCCTGTAGATGGTGTTTCCTGTCAAATCATCAACAGGTGGACTTACTTTTAATGACACTCAGTCATGACCTGAAGACTGTGACAGGATATACTTTTTATTTGGGTGTTGTCCTCAGATAACTAAGCATCTTCAACTCTATAATTAAGTGGTGTGTCAGACGTCTCCAACTGTGATAAGTTTCAGTCTTCTGATCTAATCGGCGCAACTTCACAAGCTCCGCCCACAACCGGGCTCCAGACAGTGAACTAAGGGTCTGTTATTTTTGCTGACACAACAAAAACTTATCATCGTCAAAATGCCGTAAAGGTAGCCGTGTGTTGTCGTGGCCTGTTATTACACCTGGTTGGTTACAGGCTGCCAGTCAGAACAGTCTAGATAAAGACTAGAAGGAGCAGAGGTGACTGACCAGAAAATGACCATTTAGCTCAGAGACGTGTGCTGAGTAAGCAAAATTGGTCAGATTGAGGTTTGACAGACAAAAGAGAGAAAATGTGATTATTATTATTAATCAATTTTAACCAATATATACAAAATTAAAGTTAACTAAAGCCTGCAACAATGTGAAAACTGAACAAACTGTGACTTTTTGTTTCTTTTTCTATGTTTTTATACTATGTGTTGATCAATATGTTCACAAATCATTGAGATAATACAAATCGTATTCTTTCTATAAAGGTCTGATTGATTGTATGCAGATTTCTAAAATAATAGCCAGCACTGATGCAACTGAGTACTACAATTTATCAATTTAAATGCCCCCAAATATTGTAAAACTTCATTAACAATGCTTATTTCTTACTGCTACAATATCTTATATAAGTGGGCAAAGCCAGTGAAAAATAATTCCCAAATACTTTGATTTGTTGGCACTGTTATAACATTGTGCCCAAAGACTGTAGTATAATAGTAATCAAGTGTAGACATAAACATTAATACCACTAATCACACAGGATATACTGTGTATTAATATATACCTAGCTAATTACAGTGATTAAGGGTTTCCCATCGTTTGAGCTCTGATGTTAAAATGTTCTAACATTGAAAGCAAACAAGCCAAAGAAACAGACCTACATGTGCAGACACATCTGTGAACGGTTTCATGTCCAAAGCACTGCCATCAGCTGCTGATAAATGTTTACTTTAAATTGAAGGCTAATGAGTGATGACAATGATGGTGGCTCAGAACACATTGTCCTTAAGAGCAGGAGGGCATTTTGGATATCAGGCTATGGGATACTCCACTTGGGGGACATAACAAGGAAATGTGGCTGTAGGTTGACCCCTGCTGACAAGTAGCAGGTGAACAGCCACAGCTTTAAACACAAGACGAGAGCGCCCTCTGCTGCTACCGATGGGTAAGTAATCAGATGCAGCAGAGGGAGGGAAACACTTTCTTATTTTTTGTCATACACACCATCACAGTGGTGGATTCTCATATTATACTAAGTTTGAAATAACAAGATCAACATATATCCAAGTAATCCCTGTGAGCCAGACTTCGGGTTTCAAACTGCTCAAAGGCATTTTTCTCTGTATGATCTCAGCATGAGCAAATATCATTAACTGGGTCATTTCAGTTACACAGCTCTGGCTGTGACCACAAAAACCCAACTTCTGTTCAAAGCTTCTGTTTATGTGGGCAAATGAAATAGAGGCAAGTTTGTTGAAGAGGAGAGAGCTGGGAGCTAAAAGGCTAATTTCAGTCAGTGGGTGAGGAGCTTTCACCAAGGTCAAGTGTAATGTAAATAATTATTATTTTGAACTCTAAATCATGCAAAGCTACTGTAGTAGATACAAGGAATAACAACACAGAGCTAATGAGCAAGTCGGAACAGCATTACACTAGCTGGTTAGTCTACATAACTATGGACCAACATCTAGGATCAGGCCTGCTGGACATGGCTAGGGTCTAAAGAATGCTTGTTGGCCTGGAGAGAAAACTTACCTTCCCTTTTTAGACTGCCAACTCCAACCTGACACCAGACCTAATCCTGTGGCCGAATTCTCAGCAATCTGTCTTCATTGTTGAATTGACAGGTCCTTGGGAGGTCAAAGACCATCGAGCAAAGCAGTCACTGGCTGTGGCTTAAAAGAAAGAACACTACCTGAGCTAACAGCTGACCACCACAGATGAACCATGGGACACACCTGGGTCTGATCAGCTGAGGGTATGCTGTGCTTTAAAAGGGCAAAACAGCCAATTATGATGACATGATGTCCCAAGTTCATTTTTCCGCCCAGTGGCTAGAAAGCCAAATCAGCTAGACACGCAAATCAAGTGCGTGTGGACATTTTGGGTTTGCAACACATAATGAATCTATCCTTCCATGCTGGAGGTGCAGGAGCCTAATCTAGATGTCATGAGCCGAAACACACCCTGGTCAGGTCACTAGTCTATTATTGCAGCACTAACACAAACAGACAACCAGTGACATCCATACTCACATCTCTGGCCAATTAAGAATCACCAGTTAATCTAACATATGTCTCTGACAGTGTGTGTGTGTGTGTGTGTGTGTGTGTGTGTGTGTGTGTGTGTGTGTGCGTGTGTGCGTGCGTGTGTGTGTGTGTGTGTGTGTGACAGAAAGAGCAAAAATAGTGTTGTGTGTCTACAGTGATGTGAAAGAGTGTTTGCCTCCTTCCTGATTTCCTTTGTTTTTGTATGTTCGTCACACTTAAATGTTTCAGATCATCAAACAAACTTAAATATTAAACAAAGATGGCACAAATAAACACAAAATGCAGTTTCTAAATGAAGGTGTTTATTATTAAGGGGAAACAAGATCCAAACCTACATGGCCTTGTGACTCGTTTATGCAGAATTGTTGTAATTCAGCCACATTGGAGGGTTTCGAGCAGGAATCGCCTTTTTAAGTTCGTGACACAGCATCTCAGTCAGATTCAGTTCAGGACTTAGTCAAAGTCCTGACCTGAATGAAGACTTTTTTTTTTAAAGCCATTCAGAGCTGGACTTGCTGGTGCGTTTTGGATCATTGTCCTCCTGCAGAACCCAAGTGTGCAAGAAATTGAACTCAAAAACCACATTTAATTTATGTTATATGGGGGATCACTTTACACAGGGCCATGTAGATTTGTATATAAATAATAAATTTTAAAAAACTATAAGCCTACAATATTCCAGCATTTTGTAATTTTACCAATTAGTGATAACAGTCCTAATAGTTTTTGTAAAGGACTTAAAGACTATTTATTGAAAGTATATTGTATACTTATACAGTATATTGAAAGTATGCAGTCATATTATACTATGCGTTTATGGTAGGCTATATATAAGTCCACTGGAAACAACCTGTAGTTATTTTCTCTCTTTTGCTGCTTACCAGCTTACTGTTGTCTTTACATTACTTTGGCAAACGTAGATGAAGAAGACGGTGTGAGTTTGTAGCATGAGATTAAATACATGTAGGTCCAAAAGTTTCCAAAGCTCTGACTGCAGTTACTGTCCACGTTGCTCAAAAGCTTCAATATATTACTGATTGTTGCTATCTGATATTATTTTTGCACTTACAGTGTGTTTGTGTCTGTGCCAGTAAAAGTACCAGACTGAGAGAGTGCACAACAATGTGTTTGCTGTTGGTCAGTGGACCAATCATGTTTTGTTGATGTCATAGATTTGCAAGGTGGGGGAAATAGAACAAAAGTGCTCTTGTTTATGTAAAACTCGCTTCTGGAGCAACTGGTAAGCATTTTAAGTGTTTTATTTATTCATTTAAACAGTATAATAAATAGATTATTGTGTTTGCTGTTATCTAAATTAGGTCACTTGAAGTTTGTTGATGTTGGTTTGATCCTTTTTATTATGATGATGCACGAACAACAGCCTGTTTTAGCCTTGGAAAATGTAGCTAGGTTGCTAGGCAGATTTCGCCAGCTAGCTACTTCTTTTCTACTTCTTTTCTTGCTTCTTGCGATTTGTTTGCAATTGTTTGCTGTGTCTTGCGCATCTGTTTCTACAGCTTTAACTTCATTAGTACCAAACCAACTCCACAACGCAACAAACCCCGCCTACGAGCGTGTTACACTCAGATTCGCATTACTGGTGTTTGTGTGACAGTTTAAGTTTCGTTTTCTTTTCTACGGAAAAGGCAGTGGCTCTTTCATTTGCGGTGTGTCCTGAGCTGCAGCTGCTGGTAACATCTACACACAGGAGTTATGTTCTCGTCTGTTAAAGAAAAAAACAGGTAAGTTCGCAACTTTTAGTATTACAAAGTTTGATAGTTAATATGACAAGATTCACTCTTGCAAAGATGAGTGACAGCTGTAGTGCTGTCACTGTGGCCCATAGCAGTCAGTGTGATATACCGTCAAATAACAGGAAGGGAAAAGACCTGGCTGCACAAACAAATGTTAGAAATTCAACAAAAAATATTTAAAACTTCAAAGTTTACCTGGTGTTATGTCAAAACCAGGTAAACTTACCTGGTTTGTCGAAAACAAACAAACAAATGTTCACAAGACAGCAAGAGTCAACGATCCAGAGAGTCTAGTCTTCATTATATTCGTTTTATATACGTTTTATTACTCTGAGCAATTCCCTCCGCACCTAAAGCGTGCACTTTACCTTCTTGTGCAATCAAATGGAGCCAACTAGCGCCACCTGTGGCCAAGTGCCATAGCCTACAGCCAGATTAACTTGTGACACACACACCTGAACTTGGCTCTATCACAACGTTTTATTTCGTTTCTGCTTTTCAGACTCATGTCTTGAGGTTGCTGATATTGTGTTTTAAGTGTAACATGTCAAACTAAAAAACTTCAAGTTTCATGCTGTTCTTTAAATTTGTTAAGGGGTCTTCCTCTAATGTGTACTTTTTTTATTAGTGGCTTTAGCTTTGGAGTTACTGCAAGTACAACCAAACCCTCACGTTCTAATGGATTGACACCACTCACAGCAGCTTCAACTACTTCAGTCCAACCTGCTTTTGGCACAATAACTCTCACCAGAGATGATAACAGCGAAGTCACAAATAGTTCAGAGACAAGGGAACCAAGACCTCAGTTCACATTCTTGGGTGAGCCTCCTTTTACACAAAGTTCTTTTGTCAAAGACCCAAATAAGTATGAGAAACCTTTAATATCTCACGTCCTGTGTTTCACCACGCTACTGTGAAGCTGTCTTTACACAAAGTGCAAATAGCTTTGGAGATTTATGATTTCCTCAGGGATTAATAGTGATTCTGATAATAAAGTTGGACATTTTGTTCTTTCTTTTTTTGGTTACAAAGTCATTTTAATCAGTGGCATTCAATCAGGGCAAGAAAGACAAGCAGTGCTTATCTGGTGAAATCTACAAACAGACATCAGTTACAACATAACAAAGAAAAGGGTGTTTTTCTTTCATCTTAAACATCATTCTGACATGAAGCTTCTGTAATGCCTGTTGCCATTTATTCTTTGCATTACTGCCATCTTGTGGTCACAATTGTTTATTATCTCTGGAAGCAGAATGAACTGCTTGATTACAGAGCTGCTGAAATCTGAATGGGGTATTAGTCCTGTGACAGACTGGCGACCTGTCCAGGGTGTACCCCGTCTCTTGCCCTTTTGCTAAATTTCTGGTTCTGGGTGATTTTTATATATTAAATATATTTGTTACACTTTTTAAAATTAAGATGTAAGCCTGTGTTTCTGAGCTGGTTAAAATTTGTTTTTTCCTTTCTTTTAAAAAAAGACAAGGACAACAACTAGATTTTTCTGCAGAATAATTATTTTTGCTTATTTTTTGTGAGTTATTAGTAATACAGTTTTATGTGTAGTGAAGTGTTTTCTTTGTGTTTTATTGTTACTTTTGCTAAAGTAATGGGTCTGAAAAAATCCTCTACCATTGTCAGCAAATAGTAAATTAACTAAGTTTAGTTAGATGACAACTATAGTAGTAATACAATTTTACAATTCTTTAGCCAGGAAGGAGTGGCCAAAGGGGAGGACACCCAGGAAGAGTTCAGGAAAAAGCTGTCAGAATGGTATGTTTGATACTAGTCGGATTTTCAAAGACAGGAGGAAAGTGTTTTTTTGGTATTATTTTTTAATTTTTATTTTTTAAAATTTGTATTTTTTTTTGGGGGGGGGGGGGGGGGGTCTTGTGCGAGTCACTGAATGCCACTGCTTTTAACCCTAGCCTCGATGAATGTTAGAACTTTATATAAATACAACAAATACTGGCTATTTTGTCAAACCGCAATTCTTACATTTTTTTCAGGACTGAAGTTGGAATCTCCATGGAGAAACATGGACTGGACAGAAGAGTGAGTACAGTTGTGCTGTTCAATGAGCTCCTGTTCAACTAGCAGGAACTAGTAGATGTCAAGTAAGTGCATTTTTAAACTTTCAAACACAATGAGTCACTGAATGTATCACTGAACCCAGGCGAAAGACAAGCTTGATGGAGACAATCACCTCCTACAGACGGAGCTGTGAGGAGGTGCCTCAGGCCCGGGTTCTCCTCCTGGGCCCGGTCAGTTCTGGAAAGTCGAGCTTCATCAGTTCAGTCCAGTCTGTGTTTAACGGAAGAGTCACCAACCGGGCCATGGTGGGCTCCTTCTCATCCGGTTTTACCAAAAAGGTACACGAGGAGCATCTGCATGTATTTTAAATAAGTGGAAAAATAAGCACAGAGATCCTCATTTAGTTTCATGAGATTATTTAAGCATTTCAAAAAGGGAAAGCGTCCACAAGGCCTCTCTTCATCCATGTCAATGAAACTAAACTTTAGGTTTCTGTCCTATTAACTTCCTTTTTGTGTGTGCCAGCTGCAGTCCTTCAACATTCGGGGTAAGAAGGGTGAGGATCATACTGGGCTGGTGCTGTGTGATACCATGGGTATGAGTGAAGACGGGATGACCGGACTGACTCTTCATGACATCCTGTCAGTCGTTAAAGGCCATGTTCCTGAAGGACACAAGGTAAGCATGCCTTGCCCTGTTTGTTCTCGTTTCAGTGCCCCACCTTGCCTCACTCATTCTCAGTTTGTCACCCTGCCTCATTGGCCTCAGATGTTCAGTGAGGCCTAACTCCAACTGTGGTCTCAGGCCTAGTTCATCGCTCACCCCATCCAGCTTTCATTCATCTATTATCAAACTTTATTTAACCGTGTTTGAGGTTGTGGTCCTTGTCAGTGAAGCTGCGCACTTTTTGTTCCCTATGAATCAGCAATAACTCCTTTATCCTGTCATGCTGAGAGTGGGAAAGAGCCAGGTTTCACCCAGGACATGTCATTAGTCCATCACAGAGCTAATGCCCACAGCTAATTTAGGCTTGGCTTTAGAAATGCATGCTAGGTTAAGTGGGAGAAAGCTGGAGCAACCAGAGGAAATGAGGAGCAGGAGCAACGTCAAATCACCCAGAAAGTCAACAGTAGCTCCAAACCCCTTTGTAATGCCCGATATTTGTTCCCATCAGGGTAAACTAAAGAACAGTGATGATCAGCTGACTGGTCATATAGTCCTGTGATGTAAAAGAAACAACAAAACAAATCAGTTTCCCAACTTCTCTGACTAGTAAAATAACTGGGATCACCATTACCCATAGCTGTACCTTATGGTTTGTGCCAACATGTAGAATTGTGTACATGAAGGCACACAGCATAGTTCTTTTTAATACTTTTTCTTTTTTAATAACTTAAAATACTTTCTCTCTTCCAGTTTAGCCCAGACCAGCCAGTCTCCGCCTCAGAAACTGTGGGCTATGTGAAGAGGCCGAGCCTTAAAGACAAAGTCCACTGTGTTGCCTTTGTGGTGGACGCCTCAAAAATCACAACTTACCCCAAAGGCCTGAGCACCACATTTAAACAGCTCAGAAAGCACATCAGTGACCTGGGTGAGCCGCAGACACACGTTTACACAGAGCCTGACGTTAAAGGTTGTGTTGCTTGAGTTAGCTGACTTTTGCCTCAGTGCAGCTGCTCTTTAATAATGTTCCTAATACTCTTTTTTTCTACATTGTTAGTGATTTTTTTCTTTGTATGAATTAGGCTAAAACTAAATGAGTTTCAGGTTTTATGTGAACATATAATAACAGAAGAAATCATTTTAGATTGTGTGATTTTTTTTCTTCTTCTTTTTTTTTGTGTGTTTTTTTTAAATAGGGTCCAGTATGACAGAGTATTAGAGCTACATTAAGAGCAGATTGTTATTGATCATGTTGAGAATAAAGCCTGGATTTCAATAAAAAGTTGAAATGTGGAGATTACAGATGTTGTTTTGAGATAAAACGCCGCAACGCTTTAAAATACCTTATGTAGATGAGTTAGTGAAAAAGTATGAGGACGATGGTGAACGCTGCATCAGGTCAGAAGGACAACAAAGAAAGCTGAGCAAATGTTTATCTATAGAACAAATGAACTGAGCACAATCTTTAAAGGGTTTGCATTGTCTTTGCAAGTCTTCATCACAACAGTGTGTTTCTGTTCTTTAGGTGTTCACCAGGTGGCGCTGCTCACCCACGTGGACCAAGTTTGTTTGCAAACAGCCAAAGATGTCACTGGTGTTTATGAGAGCCGCACAATTCAGGATGTGGTAAGTTAAAACAAACCAAATACAGTTCAAGAAATGTTCATATACTGTAACTGCTCCACAAATCAGAATAGGATAAATCCTGCAAACAGCAATGTAAATGTACAGCTTGAAAAGATTTGACTTTGTTTGATTTTCTGAATACAAACAACAAGAGTTTAGAGTCAGTGTGACGTTAGAACAACTTTCCTCACAGATCACACTGAGATGATCATCTTAAGGAGATGCTGATTGTGTTTGGTGTTGTTCTTAATCAGCTGAAGAAACTAAACGCTGGAGGTGTACATGTGTCTGTGTGTTTGCAGATGGGTAAAGCCGCCGCTCTGTTGGGCATGTCCACCTCCTACATCGTTCCAGTGAAAAACTACTCGTCAGAGCTGGACCTGGATGTAAACACAGATGTGCTGCTTCTCAGTGCTGTTGATCACATCCTGCAGTATGCTGACCTGTATTTCCAGGACAATGCACCACAGAACAAAGAGCTCAAGACAGCCCTGGATCTCTGATTTCTGAGCATTTAGATCAGGAGCATCATTTAACTGTTCCTGTTTCAATGTGTTAGAGAAGAGAGTTTTCATTTGTTACAAAAATTTGTGTTTCTTTTGTTTTTGACATTTCAAAAAAAAAGGTGTAAAGGACATCAAAATGCTACACACAGGAACCTTAAACAATCTTGTTTTGTTTCTAAGTGATAAAACTGACTCTACGCTTTACGTTCTGTATGTGAGACAGATTTTTTTTAATCAGTCTTTGGGCTTCTTTATTAAAACGTTTTACATTCACCAATGTTTTGCAGTTTTTTGCCTTTTTATTTTTCATTTAATAATAAAATAGCGAAAATGTGGTTCACACCCTCTCTAGAGACTTAAGGTTACACATGTGCTATCGCCCAGTGTACACCCTTAAAGTGGAAGATTTGTCTTTGCATTTTGAACAGGCTTGGAAACTGGACTGATTTCCCTTACTGCTGTGTCATTAATGCTGTGAAGAGTTTCTTTATCGTTACTACTATTATTATGTGTGCTAGTTTATATTGTATATATTAATTATATATATTAATGAATCATCCTTTTAATTGAATAGCTGAAGAACCAGTAAGATTGTTTCGTACTTACGCTTCTTGAGAAGAAGCTGGAAAACTGTAGCATGTGACGATGCACAGACCAGTTTGTTTTAGCCTCTCCGCCTCACACTCTTAAATTGATGCTTATTGTTTTGGGAGAAGCGATTAAGATCAAATATCAATAATGTTCATTTCCTCCTGAACAAGGTTTAAGCTATTATGAATATTTATGGGAAAAGTTAAGAGGTGAACACGGTTTGCTTGGGGTACCGTGTCACAGGAGCCCAGAGGCCTAGGTGGAAGTGGACCCAAGTGCAGACATCAAATGGAAACAGTGATAAAGTTTAACAGGCTTTATTAACACCAGATGCTCACTCGGATCATGACGCATGGGTGCGAAGAAGATCAAACTTCACGGAAAAAGTCAGAGGAGGTGTGCAGGGCTGGACTGGGACAAAAAATCGGCCCGGG